TTGTGATGTTGAAGTTACCATTTTATTCCAAGCTGATGAAATTTTCTGACTTCAAACCCAAATCGTGAACTTGAATATACACAAAACAAGAATAACTTTTTACTGTTTTATTTATTCACTGACCATGAATAATTTCACCTGCTTTCTGTACAGATACTAATGTGACAAAAGAAAAAATGGCAAGGAACCACTGTAACTGTGGTTTGCCTTACCTACGCTCAATATGCTACATTTATACTGAATACAGCAATATACAAAGCAATTCATTTTGTTCTACTATCTACCAACCTAACTAACCTCTTACTAGAAGGGTGCTGACAAATCCTACACAAGACTGACCAGACTTAAAATTACAATACTGTACAAAAGTAGACAGACAGCTGATATCAAACCATGAAGTTGTTGTGTATTATAATAGCTTAGCTTTTTCATTTGCATAGCTAGTGCTCTGGATTTTAACCTCATAAACTTCTGGATGCACTGATCAAAGATCAACAATGATAATTGGAACAATGATGTTCATGACACACTGTAACAGATTTTATCCTAAAGTTAACATGTAACACTGTAACGATGTTTAATATTGCCAAGTGGTGGCTATACTGGCAAGACATTACCATAAACTTGATAAAAATGTATGAACATTTCATATTCATTTAAATCTATCTCTTACTCAACAGCTGATATTAATGGATACTTCAGATTGAGCAATGTTTGATGTTTGAGGCAAAGAACAGCGGTGCAATATATATAAAGAAAATATATTGTTATATTCTTACATATTTTCTAAAAATGGTTTGCACCAGTATTATAAGATACTTCTTACAAAATCAATATCTATTTGACGCAACATCCTTAATTCCAGGATAGCAATAATCAAGAAATTTGTCTAGGAGTGTGAAACTTTAAAAAAATCAAAATAGTTTGACATGATTCAACAAATAACATTTTTACTGTTTTGACTACATTACATATCCTCAGCCATTGCCAATAATCCAGGTATTAAAAATCACAAATCCTAATGTCTTAATAAAATGTAACAGGTAACCATCTGATGAAAATCCTTTTTCAGCATGCAGATTATTCATCTCCAATCTTTCCAAGATCCAGAGCTTTGCAACCTATAGCTTCTAGCCAACAGTAAATAAAATACACTGGGCCTCCAAGTTCAAACAGCCTACTTCACAAAATGATAAAAAATTCACAATATTCAACAGCACCTTGGAAAACAGTACATCTAGCTCAAGGCTGAAGACCAACATATACTTCTCCATCACATTGCATTGCTTTAGTTGCAGCATGCAGAGAAGGGGAGGGGGTGGGGGGGTGGGGGGGTGAGAGGCAGCTATTCTTGTGCTCAATCCAAATGTGCAAACTTAACCTGCACAATGATGATGACGACGATAATGATGACGATGATGGTGAAGACGATATCAACCATATGACTGGTGACATTCTGTTCAAGTAGGCACCGATTTACTGGACTCGAACAATGTACAAAAGTATAATGATAAGTATATGCCTCTGTATGCTACATTTTTTTTCCTAGGATTAATCAAAATAACCCTATGGCAGATGATTTATTAAACTGTCCATTTCTTATATTAAGATATTATTCAACCCTTGACTGAAAATAAGTCAACTGCGAGAGCAGTGGGCAGTGTAAACAGACAGGTGTCATCCCAAGTCTCTCCACTGTATATGAAAATATATCAAAGAAAGATGCCGCTAAAAGTCCTTTTCATCATCAGATCCCCTAATGATGAAGTCACTAAATGTTCAACATACAGGTCGAGAGGGCACTGCATTCAGGCTGACATTGCTAAGCATTTAGCTTCTGAGCACAACCTTTTTAATAGAAACTATGGGAAGGGGGATTGAGAAAAATATTCGAGCAAGCCAACAAAAGATTTGACATCTGTGCACTGGCATTGTGAAACAAGTGGTTGTTCTCACCACTTGCGTGTATGTGAGTGAGGTACATGTAAACATCCACTTCTTCCTCCTCCTCCGCCTGTGTTATCCTCCCCCTTTGCTTGCAATACTGCGATTTCATTGCCACAGCATATCACAACATCACACCTCTACATAGTTGTTGTCACTGAAGCATACTGGAAGTATTGTCAAAACAATATGCCCTTCTCACTGCCAAAACATCAACAAAATGGGTAGTATCTCGTGATGCCCTTCACACGTCAATCCTTCCTCTAACAAGTGTGACTGACTAGTAGGGTGCCAATACATCATGTGACAGGGGAAGATATGCAAGACAGACCCTCAATATCTTCTTGCTCTTATCATTCTACAGCAAAGCCACATGTTTCCTCCACAGCACAAGTCAATTTTTCTAGCAGTTTCTCATAGTTCTCATACGGAGGGATGTCTATCCTATTGAAACTGTAAAGAAGAAAATTTAATGTCATTATGGTTTTCAAAAACATAACACAATTCTCGCAATTCTCAGGCAATAAAATTCCGATTTGAACACTTTGTTATGGCAGCACAACTACTATCATTACAGAGTTCTGTGCTTGGTGCAAGCACAACTCAACAAATATTTGCATTATGGAAATATTTCATTACAGGAAACACTCTAGTATTATCATCCTACCATGTGTGAGCTTTAGGTAAGTTGTCTGTGTTGGTATCCACCAAATGAATGGTAAACAACCTGGGACCAGAGGCACCTGTGGAACCTGTGGAAATATAACCAGTTTCAATAAATTAAATTTGACATTTTTTTTTTGATATATGTGTATAACTGATGCTAATAAAAAAGGTAAAAGAGTAAGGGAGTAAATATTAAGTAACTTTACATAAAAATATAATTTGAGTTATTAAACACCTCAAGGGTGGAATGTATTGCAGTTCTGGTTTAGTATACTCAGCGTTACCATAGTTCTAGTGCAGTATTTAAAGAACAATATATTTTAAGGTCGTCATTGTAAAATTATACTCGTGCCAAAATACATAAAAAACAAATCAACAATAATCATTTTAAGGACCATATCTGACATTCACATAAAATAAATGAGCATTTGGTTTTTATTGATAAGCCATTTGGTGAGCCAACAACCAAGTGGTTATAAATAAATGAACATCAGGACCCCTACCAAGCAGTCCTTGTAAAGCTTTGAAGCCTTGGAGAGGCACTCTTGAACTGCCAGTGACAAATTGCAGGAGTCTTGCCCTTTTCTCTTCATCAAATTCATCAGCAGCCCTCCAGAACCACTTGACTATTGGGGTATCTGGGGTGCAGTGTTTTAGCCGTGTATGGAGTTTCCAGTCTTCTAAGTCTATTTTTCCCAGCCCACTAATCATAAGCTGTAAGAACACAACAAGTTTTTGTGGTTAAAATTCAACACGACCTCTTATCTAATCTTTCCTTGACGTTACAACTTAATGCTGGACTGATTCTTTCCTACGCCCCTTGTTTATAGATTTGTTTAAAACAGTGTAAAACTAATGTTTAATTTTTTAAGTGCTCTGTTCATCGCCTACCTCTAGTTCCCTATCATCAAAAGGCTTGAGTAAATGCTGTGGTATGAGTTCATTGAAGCCTTTTTGTAAAGCTAAAAACTGAGCCTCAATTCCTCGCATAAACCGCCAGTTCACATATAACCTGAAGAAGAATAAACTCAGATAAAATCCCCCAAGTCAAAATATGATAAATGCCATATATAATTTATTTTCAAAAATATGTCAATAATTTCAATTGTTATATAATACTGGACACCATGTTAATGTATATTAAAAGGTCTGAAAATTCAATAAAACGTGCCATCATTACCCATAAAAAACATCTTGCACGTTATATCATGAGTAAAAGGAATACAATTCTGTTCTTAAAAGGTCATTGTTTTTTTTTAAGTAAAGACTTCTAATGCGGTATAAAGAAAGTATTTCCTACCTGACATATTCCCTTTTATTTTCTTCTGTAACTGGAATATCCTTCCCCTCTGGCTTCAGGTCATGGACCTGGATCTCACCAAAGGCATTGTGCTCTACACTAAATGAATTATGGATAACTTCTGTGATGTCATTTTCTCTGAAAAAGAAATGATATGAAATGTGAGCTGTGCAATTCTCTCAAATTACACCCTAATCAACTCCAGGGAATGTATGAAATGCAATTAATACAATTGTGTTTGAAAATCTTATCCTATCTGAAATCTGAACTTACAACATCCAACAAAGACTCCTGTGTAGTTCAGGATCCACTGTCTCCAAGTCTTCTAATGTGATTGGCTTTCCTAGGAGCTGCTTGTAGAATGGAAGAGTGAAACCTCCGTCTAAGTAGTGGCCATGGTAGATGGCCATTCCTATGATACGACCCACAAAATGGAAGTAGGACAAATGCTCCTGGAAATTTTAGGAATTGAGGTTTAATAAGTGAAAATTATTACTCAATATAAAATAGATAACTGGGGTAAATATACATACATGTATCACTTGCCACTGAAGTGAGAAATACCAAAAATTAACTTCCAATGCTTTCATTTCTTTTCTGATATTATGTCAATCATTCCTTACATTCTACAATCTAAGTGTATAATCCCAAGGTGCATATAACCTGGCCTAGAGGTCATCCTCACCATGCATGTCTGTCAGTAACGAAAGATCAGACTCTTGGTTTGCATCGGCTTACACCTCAATCAATTACGCAGGGCCTCATCTTTTTACATAGAAGACGTACATCTGTTACCTCCTGGCTGCCCTGATTGATTCCAAAAGTCTGAGAATCAATCCCCAGGGGGTGATTACTAAGATTGCCCAACTTATGACTGCTGGGCCATGTAATGCAAGCTGTACTCACCGGATTAACTCCCGAATCTGCATTAATCTGCAGTGTGTAAATGTCTTCTCTTGAGTATTGGAAAAGGCCATAATAAGGGTTGAGCATTTCATGGGAAAGGAGGTACAGCCACTCCCTGGAATTCGACAGAAAGAACAGACACCCATCAATCACAGCAAGAGCTTTTAGCTAGGGGGAGATTCCACGTAATGAAGAATCAATACATGGCAGACATGTTATGTGCAGTATGATTTATAGGAAGTTAAGTGGAAGCTTGCTGGTGTTTGAACAGTGAGATAATGGCCAGGGTATTTGTATTGTAACTCTGCACTATTTGGATTGTTATATTGGCTGCATCTGTGCTGAGAGTTAAATGAAATATAATATGACAAAGCTTATGTTGTATCCAAATGTATGAAAATTAAGGACATCAAGGTGTTGCTATTATAAACAAATTTATTACAGCAATACGCTTACAGGTATACAACACCTCATCCTTTTAAAAATCTCAGTGAAGGTTTTATATAGCTTAAACTTTTCTTCTGTTTATCAAAATGAGATAACAGAGAAACCTTGAACCTAAAGGATGAAACCAGTAACTAACTTCTAGCAATAATTAACAATGTTTCCTTACCTGGCCACACCCCCATAGTCTAGACCCTCTTCACCGCGAAACTTAACCATAAGTCTCTTTTTCAAATCTTTGGGTCGCATTTTCATCACTTGTCGGTAGGACTCCTGCAAAGTAATAATAATAATAATAATAATAATAATAATAATAATAATTTGGACAAGATTTTAGATTAAAATCCTAAAAGCATAGTCAAACACATCTAAAACTACAGATTATCCACAACATAGGCAAAAGAGATCTTACAAATAACTCCTGTCAAAAACACACACTTCATTTAAGCACACAAAATTTACTTCCATAATATCATTCTGTTACATAACTTTTTTTATTCATTTCTGAATTAACTTTCTGATACATTAAGACAATCTTTTTCTGAAAGAGTAGAAGGCACTACTTTGATACATTCATAAGCACCTTCATTTACATGAGAAATACCTCATATACTATGTGACCCTGTGCAAATATTATTCAGCACAGTTGTCTTAATGGGCCCTAAGATCAGTGATCCACACTCAAACATTTGGCTTATGGGCTAAACAAGTCTTACTAACGACTCCAAGAATCATTACCCTTCAGTCTTGACTTAAGTTATTGTTGGCAATGTTGGATGTTTTTGGAATGTGGACCACAGTGATCATGTTATAAACACTTGGGGTGCTCTGAAAACCATAAACCTCTTTAGGAAAAAAGCCCCTAGCTTGTTAATAGTCAAATACTTTTCCTTTGTTAAAACATATGGCTGGTTTTCATATTCTGAGCGTATTCCATGAAGGTAAATATTTTCACTGCGAGCATTTGCATGTAAGTGATGAATCACTACAATTAAATTACACAAACAAAATGAAAATTTCCTAGGCCAGTTGTAGGTTGGTTGCATAACTTTAAAATTTCATGTTATCTATCTCAAATACAACCTCATTCAAACTCATTTCATATGGTAATACAAGGGGACAGAGAGTAATAAATTTAGCATTATGACAAGTCTGGATCATAATTCCATTTTGGAAGCAATGAGGCACTTGAGTGTAGACAACAGCTACCCATGATAATTCACTACAATTAAATTACACAAACAAAATGAAAAAATTTTGAAGGTCCAGGATGCTTTAAAATTACTGCATAAATCACATCCAACTGTGCTGTTGACAGTAGTAGTAGACTAGTACCTCAAATATTTCCTCTCTGGAGACCTCCACTCGACAATGTCCTGTCTGAGGTTGGGTCTGCTGAAGTTCTTGTCTTAAAATTTTCAGTTTATGTACAAGGTCCCTTTTATATTTAGGTACTGGTGATTCGTTTTCTTTGTTATTATTTTGTCTGGAAGAAAAGACGAAAGAGCACTAGACACCAAAAAACATTTAGATGAAGCAAATACTTGAATAAACAATCAGAAAAGGAATATATAAAAAAACTGAAACTTATGTTTGACCAAGAAATCTACCTAATTAAAACCTTGGCAAACAGCCATCTGTAATTGACACATATTGCTACAGTAACAGAACTTTACTATCCTCAAAACTTTAAACATTCCCATAGAATAACCCACTATTACCACAGAATTAAGGATGGTTACAAATTTAAAGTACTTAACAAAATAGTCCACTGTTACAACACAATCAACAACCCTTTTTCAACTTACATCCTCTGCTGAATGGCAGCTAGATTTTGTGATATCCTGGGATCTGTGAACTGAGTTGTCCTGTTATTATGATCTACATAGTAGACCCTCCCATTGGCAGTATTCCTCAGCTCCCAGCCTGGGGGAAGTGGACCTAGCTCCTCCTCTGTTAGCTGTGTGGGGAGATCCCTAGAAAAAAAATACATATAGCAATATTAGTTTATGACAAATGCAATTTTCCAGTGTACCTTTTCTTTGAACATATGCTTTTGAAAATTTGCTTGATATTTTTTTCAGTGAATTTTTTTTTTGTCTATCAGATGAAACCCACAAATTGTGATAAAATTACTTTAATTACCAACTAGAAAACACTTCAAAACCCATCCCTGCATTAAGTCTAGGTTATTCTTCAGTCTGGCTCTGTTTACTGGATTCTCTTACATAGTGTGAATCATCTACACCAAATGAACTGGTGTCAGGCAGTGCTGCCAAGATTAGGGTATTTATTTTGTTATTTATGTTATTCTCTCTTTCTAATAGGGTCTTGAGTAGAAAATGTGCATTCTTCTCACACAGCTTTTAGTGAAAAAAGTCAGTTCTATTTTGAAACTTTTCAAACTTAAAATCATCAGGAGAGAAAAGGATCTATTCTGGAAATAAGTTTAAGTTATAATATGTTACCCCTTAACACTATTTAGAGGAAAATCTTGCTACAATTCCTTTGTCTTTGTATATTACAACTCCTTTGTATTTGTAAATAAAAATACTCGTTAATATTGTAAAGCTTCTAACTGAAAATACCTGTATTCATTACATAGAATTAAGTATGTTTATAAATAAATCAAGTTCCAAAACAAGAAAAAGTTGTAGGTTGGTTGCATAACTTAATAATTTCATGGCATCTATCTCAAATATGACCTTATTCAAAATCATTTCATATGGTAATACAAGGGGACAAAGAGTAATAAATTTAGCATTATGACAAGTCTGAATCATAATTCCATTTTGCAAGCAGCAAGGCACTTGAGTGTTGACAGCAGCTACCCATGGTAATTCAATCAATATTCTATCTCTGACATAAAAATAGATGATGCCAAGGATGAAAATTCAAATTACAGCAAATTAAAATGACCTGATAACCAAAGTGACAACATCATAAGTAAGAATAATAGGTAAACACAGAACTGGACAAAGGACCAATAGCATAAGATTTATACAGTCCAAAACTGAAAATAATGTCCTATAACACTGACAATGTTCGTAATGAACACGGAGGCAATTAAAAAAAGTCATAACAAGGAAAATTGCAAATGTCACAGCTGTCTGTGCTCCAAATTAAACACAAGCTAAAAACCAAGCTGCTAATTATGAAACTAGGATCTTATTAAACATCAGTCTCCTTTAATTGATACTATTATTCATACAGTAATCAAATTAGTATTAGGATATTGATGAAAGCATTAATGCGCTTCTACAAGCACAATCTGCTGCTAAATGCAGTTGCAGTATATAACCATCTCTTACTTCCTGGATGAAATTAAGTTATGCTTTAAAAAACTTTGTTTCCGTAGTTGAACACAATAATAGTAGTCTAAAAGTAGTCCAGATCTTTATATCAGATATTTCAAATTTTTCAATACATTCAAAATCATCTGATGTCGGACTGTTTACTTGCCCTCTTTCCACTGAAGTTTTAATAACCTCTACCCTCACTTAATACATAATTTATCGAAGTACTTTCGACAAGTCATAATCACAATTTTTAAAACCAAGACTTACTAATTAAGCACTTGCTACCACTTGGTGGCCTAATTGATTGATTCAAAGAGATGTTTGGTACACCAGAATGTACATTCTCAATAATTCATAATTATCTGAACCACGTTGCCCTATGTAGAAGTGATTTTACCCAAATTATACATCAAAGTCATCAAGTCATAACAAGCAGAGAAAATGTAACACCTGTGCAAAGACGTCACTCTAACAAGAGATGTGATTCAAAGCTGTTATGCAGCAAGTACACTGTATTACAATGATTTGAACACTGTTATCAATATATTTTTTCCAATTAAAAGTCTGTGTGGTGATCAAGGCCAAATAAGATATCTAAGTGACTAGGGGCTGACCTGCAAAAATTGGGGGGGTTGGGGGGGGGAGGCAAAATCTATTATATTTAGTGGTCAGAGGAAAACTTTTTTAAAACTCATATAATGCAATCCTTTTTTTTTGTCATATCATGAAGTAACAGTGCTAACAATTTCTCCGACTTCGCTTTCCAAACAAGACGACGTCAATAAGAACCATCTCATCAAAATTTCTCAGAAATGGGAATTAGCGGAATCACAGACAAAGCAGAAAACAATTTTCCAGCCCTGCTGAAGATGTAGTCTTAGCATGCTTTGGGTAATTAGGACATTGCAAGGTTGTTTTTTCTGAGAATACACTTGAGCGATAGAGACAGTGAGGACTGTTATCTTCATTAATATTGCAACGTGGAATCTTTCATCTAGTCTTTATGTGGGATGCTACGTAGACTTTGAAGAATTCTTAGTGATGCTTTATGCATTCAATTTTTATAAGGTTTCGCTTAAAAAATATGTGTCACACTAGTACATTTTTCATTCTCATAAATCTTTCAGAACTGTATACTTTAGCAGCTATCAAGCCAGTGCACTCAAAATCAAGAGATCAAATAAATAGACAATTTTAAGAGGATCTCTGTAATATATATCTGGGATTTAGAAGTAAGATAATCTGACATGGACCAACTGCCGGTCAGATACATTCTTTGTCTGATAAAAACTTTAGCTGGGCATTGTGAGATGCACACGTGCTGTAGTGTGGATCTTACCGTGGGACTCGGGGATCATGCCACGTACTGACTCCAGTGCTGGTATGGAGGAAATACACCTGGCCTTGCTGGGTCGTTCTTTGTTCTGAAAAACAATTGCAAAAATAGACAAAGATTTCAAATAATTTAATAAACAGTGAAAGGACAACATAATAATATCTTTTTCTTTCAAGTTCAACTAAAAAACAAGTACTATGTAATTATTTCAATACCAAAAAGAAGCAGATCGCTAGCCAATTTTCACAGTGTAGAAAGTTCACATCTATCTTATATTAATTACGTGGTTCATTTCCACAAGACTGTAGAGCTGTGTGTGAGGAGTACATTTGCAAGATTGAAACGACTTGTATCGTAGTGCAGGTAATTACAGTGCATACCTGCTAAATAATTCATCCACCACTGCACTCAAGTAACCATGAGAGAGGATGGCATGAACTCTTAATGCCCATCAGTTTCTCAGACAATGTTCAATCAACTTATACCATCAGTGTTTGGTAAACTTATTTTTTTATGTAGCTTTTTTTCATACTTGTCTATTTCTAATTCTATTAAACAAAATATCAAAACTTCAAACCTTACATAAAAGAAATATTTTTTATGCAAACCATCATATGCAGGAAGTTAAAGCCTATATTTGAATTTTTTAAAGCTAGTAGCTGTGATGTGATTTTTTTTAATATCTCCCTTTACCCAGGGTGTGTTAAGTTTGGCTTTTATGTGAATTCCCAACTTAAAAAGGTAAATTTCAGGGATGAAAAGGTCTTATCAGTAAATTACCTTCATTATACAAGCACCCAAAAGGTTAAACCATGTAAAGCATTTTATACACACGCACACTTGTACTACTGTTCCAATGCCTTGTTTTATCTTCTCACATTTTAGACTGCCAAAATAACAAACAACTTATTACAGGGTGCCTTACACTCAATGTTAACAAAATTCAGACCAAATGGAATGCAACGAAGCCAGTTTATCCATACTAAATCTGAACCAAGATCCACATGGTCCAATCAAGTCACAATATTGCCTGCTGGGTTGCTGCATGTCTGATTCCATATCCATCAGTTACTTAGGGTGAACTCATTTTGTCTTGCTTCATCCGAAAGGTAACTTCGCCTTTTATATCCAAGGTATCATATAGTTACTTACCATAACCATCAGGCAACTCCACTGCCTGTACTAAATGAGATCTGTTGAGATAATTCCGATGCCTTGTGGACCTGCGTCGGGAACTACCCCGCTCACTGCCAGCGTTACTGCTGGACCCGCCACTTGGACTAGTTGCATTGTTTGTATTGTTAGAACCACTACTGCCACTGCCGCCTGTACTGGCTCCATTGCCAGGGCTACTGCCATTAGTTAGACGTTGTTGCTGTTGTTGCTGCTGAGACGGCGATGATGATGATGATAATGATGATGAGCCAGCACCTGAGTTTTGATTAGTTAATGAGGATGACGAAGAATTGATGTTCATGCTTAACCGCCGTGAAGCACGGTCAGCAACACACTCTGCAGCAGGCCTAAAATAAAGAAACAATTATTTACAATCATCATATTTCAGAATTGTAAAGGGGGGAAAGCGATATAAATGGCACACTCAAAGCAATTTATGCAACATACTCTAATATGTGCATTAAAACAGTTCCTTAAAAAAAAAGAAAACACTACTCTTACATCATTTATGCACCCAAAAGTCAAGTTCAATTACCACAGCTGTTTTTAACATCCACTACATTCCTATCCTTTAAAATATCTTCCTTTTAAAAAGAAGCAAATACACAAGGTTTAAGATGGTACCAAATCATATATTTTTCAATGGTAGCTGAAATCTTATGCCACTGCCCTTAACCTGATGAGGGGTCATCTTCCTCTTTGTTATTTCAGTTTGTACCACCTGCCACATAACAGTGACTTGTGGGCACTTTAAAATGTCACTCCCCTTGTCATCACCCAAGCATTTCCATACAGTTGAAACAGTTTTAAACATCTAAAGATTTTTTACACATCATACAAAATAAAATCATTTGAAACCCTACATTTGGTACCATTTTATCAGGGCGGAATATATATGAAAGTCATTTATATCACTTTTTATTTGACTGATAATGGCCTTCCAAAGGCTACTAACAGTAGTTATTTACTTGTGATAAGTGGTATTTTAATGAGTTTCCGTTGTGGCAGTGTGTCATCTAATTGCTTATGGTACCTACTCATTTTACCTACTGTGATATTGTCAATGCTGTAATCAAATGTGGCTTAAATATGCACATAATGTACAATGGACTTAATTCTGAAATTTCTAATGGACCTTTTTTTTAAAATCTATATTGATCTTCCCTCTTTGTTACCATAACCTAGAAGACACCCTTCACATGTGACTTGCAGATAGCAATCATATTTAACCCAAACACTCACATGTCCATCTAGCTGTGGGGCACACCCAATAAAAACAAACACTAGTTTCTTTCCATTAAGTACTCTGCCATGTTTGATTCATTCAACTACCTGTACAAAGTAAGCTCCACATGGCAAAAGCCCTCCAGTGGGAGCTTCGGATGTAACAAATTGTGGCTTCCTCTGTGTTTCCGCACCAGCATTGTTATGTCCTGTGCTGCAGTCACCACCGTCCACCAAGTCTGTCCCCAAATGTGCCCGCAGTTAGTCTACACAAAAGCCCTTTGTCTTCTATGCTTAACCTTTGTACTTTCTTTGTCCGCACAATTAGGTGATGTTACCTATAGCTTTCCTGCATCAAGCTCTCCTTTATATACACATATATATCACTTAAGCAATTAGAGACCAGTTAATAAAATCTCTCCTATATTGCGGCAGCTGGCCTTAGCACGTGCAGAACAATGCTCAGCAACACATTGAACTATATTGAGCCCGAGGCAAGTCCTAAGCTCTCTATATATCTTACAACAGCAGTCAGATTAGAGGAAGAGATTTACATATCTATCTAATCATCTTGAGAAGGATTGAGGGTTGTCCAAATCTCAGATATTAACAACTGCCAAATCAAATATACTTCCTTCTGACCAAAATAATCAAATTATATGGCTTATGGAGTGAAATAATACCCCCCCCCTTTAGAAAAGATGAAGGGGATAAAGGAGATGATCTATCCACTTTTGACATCTAAGCTTTAAAGGGCATATTTCTTTCTAGTATTGCATAAAACTAGTAGGTAGGTTACTTCACCTGAAATTTTTTTTAAATGCTTTGTGATTTTCGACACATAACAGCACAGATAATCATATCATTATAATACTGCAGGCAAACTTCATTGTAATTCAGTATCATATTGATTTACTTCAGGAACATTAAGAAAAAAAAAAAAGCTGATATATAGAAAGTAGTAACTGAAATCACTGCCTGTAAAGGTCTGACAAGATTTAACATTTCAATTCGCCTGTTATGACCTGAATAGCGCTATTCAATTTTGTTCACTTTGGCATTCACAGAAAACAAAGCGACAGAATGAAATGGAAGGCATCCATGCACCGATACAGACTTTTGAGGTTATCTTCTTATTTCCCCGTAATCATTTGCCAACGAAANAGCATAACTTCTACAATAATGGCCCCATCATGCTGATTTTCGAACTTGACCTGCGTTTTATGAATATTCATCAGCTCTGTAAATATAAATCCAAAAAGTAAAACTGCCTTCCACTTATCGTGTTTACAAGGAAAGTGCACGGCGACGGCATCGGCATCGGCATCGGCATCGGCGACAGCGACGACAGACGCAGGTGATGGCAATATGTACAGACACATCTGTGTCTGTACATAAAAAAAGCTGATATATAGAAAGTAGAAACTGAAATCACTGCCTGTAAAGGTCTGACAACATTTAACATTTCAATTCGCCTGTTATGACCTGAATAGCGCTATTCAATTTTGCAAACTTTGGCATTCACAGAAAACAAAGCGACAGAATGAAATGGAAAGCATCCATGCACCAAAACCGACTTTTGAGGTTATCTTCTTATTTCCCCTAATCATTTGCCAACGAAAATGCAATTTATGCACGTGAAAGGAAATGAGAAAGTCTTGTACATGACACATATTGATCCACAATAATATGAACTGTCCTTTGGCTTTCTTTCAAAACCACAGAAAGTCTGTCAGTGTAATAAGTTCTTATCAAGAAAAGTTCTATAGAGAGCACAGCATCAATAGTTTTTGATGCCAATAGAATATATTTTTTCCAAAAGCGGAAAAAAGGGTCAGGAAATGAAAAATACATGAAAGAAATCTTAACACTGAAGACAAAATTACTTTTTAACAAACCCTTGAAACATCTCTCCTTGTAACACTAACTTCTCATCCTAATCAACAGGTATAAAATACCCTTAACTTATAACTAGCAGTTGTAGTATTGCCATTTAATTGGTATGAAAATACTCAAAATGAGTAACATTTTCTCCTGCCAGTCACATATTTCACGATGAAGCAAAGTGCTGTTAATTATATGTCTAGGTGACATTATCATAAAACATTTAATTTAATTCTGATAATTATTAGATTCTCAGTCATATACCAGCATGCTGTATAAATCATTTTAAGGTAAAATGTCTCTACCCAACTAAAAACATCAATCTTTAAACAATGTCCATAATAACCTATTTTGTAAGTCATGTCAATAACCCCAAAGATTCCATATCATTGGTTTGAAAATTATGTAAGTAATCCATCATATATCAGCTGTATTTACAAAACATAAAATTTATGGACTTAAATCATAATTTATGACTAATACTTAAGACAGAAATACATGTATGAACTAAACGCCCTTATTCTTTTCACATCTTCACAAACAAGGTTTGAAAGACCATTTTCTTTCAAATAGTACCTAACCTTCAGACTACACAGGCCTGCTTAATTTGATCACTGCACTTGCAAAGCATTACATTTTTTCCTCTACACTAACATATCATATATTATTTCATATCTTCTTTTAAATCATATTTTTTCTCACCTTGTTGGTCTTTCCCACTGTGTAGTTCTTGTGACATGGTTTATGTAATGGACCCTTCCACTTGCGGTACGCCTTTCTTCCCACCTGGAACAAAGCATTCATTTTATAAGTGATAAGCAAACAACACTGCTTCTGTCATACTCATATTATTCTGTAAGTCAATGCTTAATTTTTCACTAGATCTCTTATAATATGCATAAGAATAAATAAAAATGTTTAACTGAATGCAGGCACGAGTTGAAAAATATCATGTTATTCAGGACTTTTTTTTTCTGATGCTTGTTTTATCCTTGATATACCACTCCCTGTTAGTTAAAATATATACAACTTTGCACAAATTCAAGAGTGAAAACAGCATTGAGACTGCTTCGTTTACTTTCTATTTAGAAGGATGTCTTCATTTGTCTTTTAAATTCAGGTTTATTTAAAAAGAAGTTTGAACTCCCTTAGAAAAAGTGTTATAAGCAGAATACCTGGATATATTTCATAGCATTAAGTTTATGGTCCCAATCAATTATAAATTTAATTTTGCAAAAAATATAAAGTATTTCCCCATTTTTATCAGCCAAGTTGGTTTATCTTTCAGCATTAGGTGAAAAGCTACTGATAGCGCATACCTAGACTGCAGTTCAATTTTGGCCCTGCATTCTAGAGTTATATAGAATTTCCTTCCTTTTTCCTCATTCCTGACTTAACCTGCCCAAGTGGCCCAGACACAAACATTTTTCTATTTCCTACTTAAATCTGAATTAAAGTAATTGCCAATATTTCTCTGGCAATCACCTCTCACTTTCCCAGATACGCACAAAAAGGAAGATAGGTCTACGCTAAAAATATAAGCCAGCTGGATGTGTCTGATTAAGCTAACAGATTACCTTTACCCTTTCTTATATTATAACATTCAATAAGGCCCATCAACACCGATGTTGCAGTTGAGGTCTGACACCAAAATACCCTCCCCCCAAAAAAACATTATTTTTTTTATCTCTTCACACCTGGCATAGATCAGTTAAGCCTAAAATTAGTTGAATTACTTTTTGTTACATTAATAGTGTAGATATGTACAGGTGAACATGAGTCAGGCCAAATAATGTCAGTACGTTTGGAGGTTAAAAAAGATAATTATGTCAGATTATGTAGCATGACTTATATTTAGCTTTAATGGCAAAAACATTCTATTCCATGCATTCTATTCATACACAGTTTATAAATGCATATTTTGTTGTCTACTGCTTCTTCAATATATCGGCAAACCCGTTCTCATAAAATCCTATACTTCCATTAATTCTTCAATTTCTTAAACCATACTCGGGCATGCAATTTTTTTACTCTACTTCTTTATTTACCAACTGACTCTACGACAGATTTTCTGGATTTACTCTTTCAAAATACAATAAATTACAAATAATGGCACCATAGTCCATGGCAACAAATTTGATTTCAAATCCCTTGCTTTATAATGTGCAACATAAGGATTGCATATTCACACCAACAAACTAAAAATAAAGAGAAGGTGGAGGCACAAATGGCATTATCCTTTTAGTGAACAGATTTTCTTCAACTCATAGCTAATAAAAGACTTCCCTGAGGTATAAGGCAGCTCAAAAATAAATTTTGTCATAATTACTAGGCTATAGATTTTTATCAGTCCAGTATTATTATTTCATATTTTATCAGTCAAAATTCATGTCAAAAATGTCCAGGGACCTACTGCTTGTAACATTGCACCAAATTGGTGGGTAATATACAAATGGTTGATCCCTAAATTTATATTTGACCTAATTACCAGTAGAGTATGAACAGAATCCAAGAGCTAATTTGATCAGCTTTTTCCCATAATGTAATATACCACAACAGTGCCAAATGCACCTGGTGAAAGAACATCAGATAGACCATCATTATCAGTAAATCCTAAATCTACATCAACATGGCCTAATAAATTCCCTGGCAGACTAGCCATCATATTATGAATCATATGCTGTCTGATAGCATAGGAGAATTAATGCATTTCTTTATCAGATCTTCACAGATTTACACACTCAAATGAAAAATCAACAAAATCCCAAGCTGGCTTATCAGATTCGTGCAGATTATTGCATGTTCAATTTGGCTTTGGCAAGCAGCTTGCTTTGCCACCAAGGGATCAAACATGTAGACTTAGCTGCCAGAATGCATGAATATCATAAAGGAATTCTACAGCCACAGACTGCAAACACGATGAACATAAACTACGAGTGGCAAATACACACACACACACACACCATTTAGCTGTTGAACAGAAATTCCACACTAGCTGTGGCTCTGCTGTTTTGATTCTGTGTAAAAACCACATGCAAGTTTGGAGTCTTGACCAGCCACTGAAATCCATCATGGAAGTTGATAATTTCCCGATGTTAAGGAACTGCTTCATAACAGATGATATCAGGCTTGCAGGAAGCAATGTACAAAACCATGCCACCCTGATACCTTCAAAAATCAAATCAGTCTATCTTTTCAAACT